CGCAAAGTTCCATGCTCGCTCCATACTTTGCTCGCTCGGATAAGAGATGAAACCTTTCTATATTTTTTTGCTTTGTTTTGTTTTTTTGAGTGTCCAGAGGACCAGATTGAACTTTTTTGGACAATGCTGTTTATAATTACAATATTTTCAACGTTTGTTGTGGACAGTTGATTGTGTTGTAACCAAAAGAAAGCTTGATATTTCGGTCTAAAAAAATTATTGAACCAGTTTTATTTACTTAATTTTTGCCTTTTGATAGGGCGTATCTGCGTCTTGAGCAAATGATAATAAACTCAAGTCAACTTTGATGGATCTGACTTTTTTCAACTATCTGCGTTTAAACACATTACAGTTCCAGCAGTTTGGCTACACACCTTCACTAGATCCTGCAAATACTTCTTCTGTTGAGCAGAAGGTTAAACAGGACGTAAAGGGATGTTCTATCCATTTTGATTAGGGTTCTCTGGCTCTTTGACAGATCTTAGCGTGAAAAAAAGATGTTTAAATCCATTACGTCTGACAAGCTAACAGGAAGTCCAAACTCAGACAAAACCAAAGTCGAACTGTAATGACTTTTAAAAACAATAATTAGGTGCACAAGTTTGAATTTGTGAATTTCTGTAATCCACACAGGGTCAAAGACAAAGTACATCCCACTAAGATTTGGTTAAGTTTCCAATTTGAAGTTTCACCTTTACCACAGGCTCTTTATATCCATCAAATGGTAAATGATAAATGGACTGTACTTACCGGTATATAGCTCCTTTCTATCTAATCAAGATACTCAAAGTGCTTTACAGTACAATCTATGCCCTCATTTACCCATCCACACACACATTCATACAGCACTCTACTAGATCTCTACAAAGATAATCGAACAAATCATTCTAAAGAGACTAATCAGTGCTTTTTAGGTCACATTCATACACAGATGGGATACACATCAGAAGCAATGAGGGGTTCAGTGTTTTACACACATACACTTCAACATGTCCAATTCCACTGCTGGTGGAATCGAACCCCCAACTCTCCATTTTGAGGAAGACTGCTCTAACCACTCAGTCACAGCTGCCCCATCAATAAACTTCTGGTATAATTCTGGCTCATATTTGACAATTCCTCCTGGCAGAATTGTTCAAGTTTATTTAAATTACTTGGTTTTCTTGCAATGAACTGGTATTTATTTAAATATATTTATATATATATATATATATATATATATATATATATAAAGTTTTTGGGGGCACAAATTTTCAATCCTTTTGAGGTTGTGACTTAAGTAAGGTCATACCAGGAACTTAATGTCAGCCTTTTTATATCCAATCATAAACCAGTACTTTTGTGTTTGGGAACTATGTTCTATTGAAACATGTAAATATGTAAAAGTTTTCCAATAGGACATTTCCTCAGTCTTGCGTCAGAACTATTCAGTTCAGTTTCAGTTTATTTATATAGTGCCAAGTCACAATAGACGTTGTCTCAGGGCACTATACAAAAGCATTCACATACATTATAAAAGCCAATTAGTAAAAAACATCTGTCTAACTAGTTTCTTATTGCTCCTCTTTGAATCACCATTTTATCATGGTGGAGGAGTTTGTGCGCCTGAATGATCCTAGGAGCTATGCTGTCAGGGGCAATTGTAATTGCCCTTGGTAGGGTCTCCCAAGGCAGATTGGTTCTAGGTGACAGGCGAGACAAAGAGTGATTCCACTGACTCAAATGGACAGAAATCAGCAAGGAGCTCATTGTCCCTTGTCGGACAAGTAACATGGGTTACTTAGGCCCCACCCTTGAGTCAGGACTGGGGGAGGGGCTCGTTGTTGAGCACCTCGTGACTGGGTCTCTACCCATGGGGTCCTGTCAGACTCAGCCCAAACAACTAGGTTTTCTTTCCTGTGGGCCCACCACCTGCAGGAGGGGCCATATGAGTCGGGTTCATGACAGTGGCTATGGACAGTGGCTGAAGGTGGGGGCCTTGATGCTCTGACCCTTGCTTACCAAAGCTGGCTTTTGAGGCATGGAATGTCAGAGTCAGTCAGAGAGTCAGAGATTCTTTATTGTCATTCGCACCACATGTCAAGCGAAATTATGTACATGGGGTCCCAGTTACATCCAACAATAAAATTTAAAAGAAAAACAGTAATAAGATCTAAGATATGAACTAAGAAAAACCTAAACTAAAATACACTAAGCACTAATAGCATAAAAACATTACAACAAACAGCAGCACGAACATGAGTCTGTGTGAGTAGATGAGCATGTATGAACACATAAACATGGAACAGATCAGCAGCAACATTGAAACAGATCAGCAGCAACATGATGTGATTTTTCACAGTGATTATTCTGGTTAGAGATTCATGAGTCTAACAGCCTCAGGGCAGAAGCTGTTCCTCAGTCTAGTGGTTCTACACTTAATGCTCCTCAACCTCCTTCCTGAGGGGAGCGGTGCAAAAAGTGTATGTGCTGGGTGGGTGGGGTCCTTCATGATGCAGGTGGCCCTCTTCCTGCATCTGGAGGTGTAGATGTCTGTGATGGTGGGGAGACTGACTCCAACAGTCTTCTGTGCAGCCTTCACCACTCTCTGCAAAGCTTTTCTTTCTGCAGCTGTGCAGCCTCCATGCCACACATTGATGCTGGGGCACAGGATGCTCTCCACTGCACACTTGTAGAAGGAGGTGAGGACTGAGCTTCCCAGACCAGCTCGTCTCAGCCGCCTGAGGAAGTAGAGTCTCTGATGAGCTTTCTTGATCAGGCTGGTGGTGTGGTTGCCCCAGCGGAGGTTGTCATTCATGTGTACACCCAAGTACTTGTAACTGGAGACCACTTCCACTGCAGATCCTCTTATGTTCAGGGGAGTATAGGTGTGTTTGTTCCTTCTGAAGTCCACCATCATCTCCTTTGTCTTCTTCACATTGATGTGAAGGTTATTCTCTTTGCACCAGCTCTCCAGGTGTTCTGTGAAATCTCTCTGGCAGGGAAGGAGCCTGAGCTTGTGCGTGAGGTTGAGAGGTACCGACTAGAAATAGTTGGGCTCACCTCAATGCACAATATGGGGTCCATAACCAATCTCCTTGAGAGGGGCTGGACCTTATTCCACTCTGGATTTGTCCATGGTGAGAAGCACAGAGCTGGTGTGAGTCTACTTTTAGCCCCGTTACCTGGTGCCTGTGTGTTGGAGTTTTCCCCGGTAGATGAGAGGGTAGTTTCCCTGCGACTCAGGTGGGGGGATGGGTTCCAACAATTGTTTGTGCCTATGCGCTAAATGGCAGTCCGGAGTTTCCGGCCTTCTTGGAGTCCTTGGCTGGGGTCCTGGAAGGTGCTCCAGCTGGGGATTCCTGTATTCTGCTGGGGGACTTCAATTCCCACGTGGGTATTGACCGCGTGACCTGGAGGGGCAGGATTGGGAGGAACGGCCTCTCTGATCTGAACCCAAGCAATGTTCTACTATTGGACTTTTGTGC